TACCTAGCGTCTTAGGAAAAAAAGAAAGTATATTGACGGAAAAAGTAATTTCTTTTTAATGGAACGTAGAAAACCTTGATAACAAGACTCTCATGGGGATTATCAAATAAGACTTGTTATCAAGGTTGACTTCTTATCGAGGTTTGCAATAACATGTAATTAAAGGGTAAAATAAATTCTAGGGAGTTTGAAAAGGACACTGGTTATCAAGGGTGACTTTTTATGGAGGGTCGTGTTATCAAGGTTCCACTGTACTTCCTAACTATAGATTTAGCAAGAATCTACTGACACGATCGACCACAGTAGAATGTGACACAGTGATGTCGCGATGTTTGATGTTTGAAGTAGCACAGACAGTCCGACATCCGGCCCGGGGGACCAAATTCAATCTGACACCTTCCAACACAAACCGCACAATCACACAGACACCGCTACTTCTCCCTCCCCCTCCCCCTCCTACATCACCGTAGACTCTTTGTTTCATCTTTCATGTTCGATCTCCTCGGGGAGTACGACTATACGAGACCCTTCGGTAGTGGTATTGAAATAGCGATCCTGTCCATAGTGTGTGGAAAACAAGGTAAAATACGTCGTGGATTTTATTGGGAGATTTTAAGTACTGAAGAGTTGTCTTGCCAAGTGACACATATTTTAAATCATCTATGAAATTAAATTCGAGATAATGTGATACGGCTTATTGAAATAGCGTTTGCGCACGAGCAAAACTTTGTAAACAGATTAGATTTTTTTACATGAATAAATTATCGTATAAAGTCAGAGTTTTATACACACTCGCCTGAGAGAAATCTTTGAGTGAATTCGAGACCTGAAATCTCACTAGCGACGGTGTCCTCTATGTTTACTGGACAACTATGCAAATACCCATAGCCTAAAGAAATAGTAAAACCAGATAATAGTTAAAGCTGTCATAATCGCTCCAAAACGTCACCAACACGTAACATACTAATAAAAACAACCTTCAGATATTTATAGTATAATGGTAAAGATTAACTGTAGTACCTAGATCCAAGATGTCAATGTTCACTTAACACACCATCGCATTTTGATACGAAGATGCACAAAGGATGATTTGGTCGTGTAACAGCTAGCTTTATAGCCAGGACCATATTATCTATCTCAATGATCGATGACAGTTGAGTCCAGTTCCAAAATATTAAAACCCTGTTTTTTGTCAGTATCAAACCATCGACCTTCCGAGGAGAGCACAGAGCCTAACCATTTACCCAGCTATATCCTGGCTTACATAACCTCATTATACATTAACGGTTTAAAAGACCATTAACCGCAGTAAAATTTAACAGCACAAACCATCTGTACACTTGGCATTAAAAGTCTACACAATTCGCCACACACGTAGGAGCGTTGTAGGTTGTAGCCAAACCAAAGCCATAAAACAAGTAAAGTGCTTCTAGATCGGACTCTGGGGAGGTTGTCTTTACGACCACGTGTCTAGCAGGGTCTGAACGTGTCAGGACAAGTCAGGACATGTCCGGCGGTGAATCATTGATGCTGCTGGTAGGGACAATCACTTTGATACAATCATAGGGATGTAAAAGACATTTTCCAACAGAAGAGTTTTTTATAAAGTTCTCAGACATTGATGAAGTTTTATTTAATGTTTTGGTGTTTATCTCCGCCGATGGAATTTTTTACGTTTTTAAAAATAGGAACCTTCCTAGCCCTGGTCTCGTAACTCTGGACCTTAATGTTAGCAGCAAATTGACATTCCGATGGGAAACGGCATCTGGATCCAGAATCGAAAACAATTAATTTTACAAGTAAAGGATTTTAGAATCACATCCATCATTAACTGTAATACTGTGAACATCAGAATTGTATGTTTAAAACGAGTTAAGACCCTCATATATCTTACAAAGACAAATGGAATAATAGAATACACAATGTTTATTTAGCTAAATAATGCCGACATGGAGTACATGTAACGTACCCAAGTTTAACTATGTTCCCAAAACTCGCACAAATGAAACTAAAGCCGGGATCACACTATGTAGCAAAACCTGCTATAAACCTTTTGCTATATAACATTGTTCTAATAACTTAAAAGCTATATAAAATTGCTATATAACTTATACTATACAAAAAAGTTACAGACAATTTTAGTGATTCCGGTGCCCGTATGTATGCTACATGTATCCCAACCTCACTCGCATTCCGTATCACATTTTTGTAAATATGTCGGGGATCGAACTCATACCTCCAACATGCCAACACCAACAGAACCCCCTATTCTAGCTCTACCTGGAATATCTTTTAGGTTAGAGTAGCTTTTATCTCTTAGACTGGCATATACCCGACTTCCCCGCATTCCACCATATTTCCCCCTTTTGAAGGCCATTTCCCCGATCCAAAGCCTCATTCCCACCGACTGTCGTAGTTTGTTTGTTTGTGCAGTTTGCAGTTCTGATTGATAAGCTCAGTCACCCCGTCCGTGTCTCAACCCAAAACACAGCTGCTTGCACAGCACTCGGCCACAATACATTGTCGCCGATACAATGTATTGTGTGCACAGCATTGTGTATTGTGTTGCGCAAGTCCTACGATATTGGGAGTTTTAACACAATTGACGCTGTCACAGTTGTTGTGAGGGAGCACTACTAATTCAACGTCAAAATAGTTGGTGGGCATCATTAATTAAAAGTGCAATGGGAAATATCACCCTAAGTCCATGATGAATCTCTCTGTATCGAGCTAGCAGCCTATATTGTCTGTGCTAAAAGTTTCACTAGGGGCCTGGGGCGGTCGGTTACCTTAGGAAATCACAGTTTTGAATACAATAATAAACATGCGGATTTCAATGTGCTTTTCCTACTTGCAACTACCCAAAAAAACGTGTGTCATACGTGATGAGGAAATTTTTTATTATTTTCAGAGGTATGGATTTTTGGTGCAACGATAAAAAAAGCAGAATTCCAGGACCACGACATGATTGCGTTTCCAAACGTAGTCAAACATGAAAAACTACTAAAAACCAAATTAACATTCAGATTTTACCGTGAAATGGGCCTACTAGCAGTTTGAAAAGAGCGAACTGGTCTTGTACAGCACGGGACTTCGGTCTTTGAGCTTCCGGGTTCGAATCGTACCAATCACCATTGGATTTAAAATCTAAATATTATATATCTAAGTGATAATGCCACAAACTTAGGCATTCTGAAGTAATATGAGAAATGATCCCGGGCAAGAGCTTAGCGTCTCAGGAAAAACAATACAGTTTGAAAAGAATCGTTAAAGAATTTATACGTAGGCTACTGCAAGGAGTAATTAGTATTGTTTAGCAACGGCCAACATGCTGTATATCAATTCACTGCACATGACATAAAAGTGTTTTCTTGGAACAAAACACGGTTAGGATGTAAAGAGGAAAATTGCTATGTAAATTAATGATAATCCCGTGATAATATGCTGGAATGATAAACCCAAGCAAGGTATTTACACAGGTATCAGGCAAATAAATTTGCATCTTGAATACAGTACTTTGATTAAGGGGGAAGAAATCTAGAGGAATTTGTTTTTATCGTTTATCTGACACTACTTCAATGTTCTTCAATGTTCTAAGGGTTTTGATTTGAGTAATTTAGTATTATTTTCACAATTGCGGTCTTTTAGTATCAGTAATGTACAATTCATAACCCTCTTTTACTCTAAAGTTCTGCTTTGCCAATTAATTGCAAATTTTAAACATTAATACAATCATCGTCGAAGTTACATCAAACATTTTCCTTGTTCTAACAACTTTCGTTATCTACTGTTGGGTCCCTTCAAAAATCTTCTGGTCTTCTTCGGAATTTAATTTTACTACTATACAAGATTAAACTTAACGTCGAATTAAGATCCCGTTTTTAATTCGCAGCCTCACAGCTGCAGTATTCTTTTACACAATATTTTTTGAGTTTTCTTCATCATGCAATTTGAATTAGTTTATCACAAAAACATAGTTTTGCCTCAACTTGGCTTCATCTCCTAAACAAATAATCATTGTTTATTTAAATAGTACCTCTCGATTCTTCATGTTTACTTATTTAATATAGCACTTTGATATTTAAATTTACTTATATAAGTGTATAAGTTTTTATCTATTTATGTTTTAGAGGTTAAGTGTCAGAGAGGACTTCTAACTTCGCCTCTTAAATAAAGACATTTTTCATTTTATTTCATTTCTCGATACTACATGTATATCTCTAGCCCTGATACTACATAACATCCTCCACTACTTCTCCCCCTCCCAATTAACAATTAATTGGTAATTTGTTTTTGGTTTTTTTTTTGCTTCTACAGACAGCTACCCGAGATATTATAACATGTAACGTGTGCGTAAACACATTAAAAACCCTTCTGTACCTCAATTTGTCTAAGAACCGAATTAAAAAATCTGTTCATAGAGCAAAATCCAAGGCACTATGCCATTGAAGTACAGGTTCAGTGGAAGGCACTGTTTCGAAAGAATACGCATCAGGCAGGCATTACTGCAAAAATTAATTTACTGGAAGACATCACGCTGAAATGCACTGCACCAAAAGAATATGTAAATCAGTTATAACTCCAACACCTATTTTCCTGGAAGGGCTGCGTACAATGAGGCATTACTCCGAAACCTATTTCACTAGAAGGCACTGGCCCGAAAGGCGCTGGTCCGACAAAAGGTAAGAGAATTACAGTTTTAGAATTGGAGCAGAGCCGTTTCAAAGTTATGTCATTCGGAGTCATGCCTTTCAAAGTCGTACTTTTCAGAGTTAAGCCTTTCTGAGTTACGTCTTTCGGAGTTATGCAATTCGGAGTTATGTCTTTATGATGTACGCCTTTCGAGCTACGCCTTTCTAAGTTGCATCTTTCGGAGTTATGAAATTCGGAGTTACGCATTTTTGGAGTTACGCCTTTCGGAGTTACGCCTTTAGGAGTTACGCCTTTGTCTAACCACACTTAGGTGCAACACTACTACTACTTGAACAGTGATCACTCACCTCTAAGCGCCTTCATGTGAGCCACAGCCATGCGCAGGATGGTGAGTTTGTCCGGTTTCCTCGCCAGCGCGCTGCAGGTAGGCACCATGTCGGACAACTCGGTGATGTAGGCCGTCATCTTGTTGCGCCTCCGTCGCTCGATTTCGCAATGGTTCTCCCTACAGTTGTTTCAAACAGACACGAACCTCCAGGTAATTATAAGGCGACAACAAACATACCAATTACACTAGTAAATACTACAAAACCCTCGTTAATCCCGACATTGGGACGGGACCGGAGTCGTCCGGATTAACGAGAGTTTGGATCACACCAACTTAATATTAATAAAGAAAACACTAATTATTGGTTTAACCAGTCTTCTAAAAATACCAACTATTATCACGCATTTCCATATTTTATTATGTGTAACACACTCCTAGGGGGAGTGGGTTATAGGGGCACCCTCAAAAACTCTGAAATTTCGTACGAAAAGATTTGAATATTTTCACACTTATATTTTACGCCGTATTCAACGATCTCGAACATCCACTACCTTCCGTGAATGAAAATAGCCATGTTAAGACACAAGTTATGGCAGTACAATTAGTATAATAAACTAACTGTGCATGCCATCTTTATCGACATTCTGAATTTGTGTCAATAATGTAGAATGTTTACAGCTTTTAGTGAAAGTAATGGTAAATCGAATTTAGAATGTTAACGTCGGCTGTTAGGCTTTTTATAAATTATAGGTTAATTTCTAAAAACTGAAACCCAAAATTAAATATGGCTTCAACATTCCCTTTTCTTAAAATTATCTTTCCATCATCACACATAAGAAACATGAGGATCTAGTGGTTGATTTAGAATTAAAAAAACTCGCAGGTGATGTTTGATAATTTTAATATACAAGATGAAATCCAAACAGACACGCGAAATAGAAAATCAGTAAAACAGCCAGGAAGTAATAAACCTCATGTTACTCAGGTAATTTCCATCACCTAAGCGTTACATAGACGTGACAGATGCGTCACGTGACGTCACCTCTACGCAAACAAACGTAACGAGTTACGTCATATACCAGGAACAGCTGATACTATCTAGTATGAATATTTCATCGATGTTTTAATTATAGCTTTCATTTCTAGAAAATCGATGAACGTGTCCACTGTGGGTGCTGTGCGCTAAACTGCGTTGTATTACTACGCCCACTTTTATTATTTATGTGAATGGTAAAATATTGTTATCTTTAGCGGGGAGTTTCCTTAACGTAAAATACCCTTTCCTTCCGTGTGTCAGCAACCCTAGATAATCATTCACATTTAATGTTTTAATCTTAAATGGTTAAATCTGGTTTGTTTAAGGAAATATTTAAGGGGACATCCCATGGAATTTTGCAGGTTCGCTGAGGCGGGGGTATTTGTTTCCTTTACTTTTTATCTTCACTTTAGACGTATTTTGTCACTACCCTTGGTATTTGTACCAACGTCGTTAACCTGTAGTTGAGCAGCATCATCATTTCTCATCCTAATGTAATTATGTTGTATTGATAAAACCGCACGTCACAAAAATTATGTTTTGTTTATTTATGATTTGCGGAGATGATAATTGAAATATTAAAACTATGGTAGTAGGCTATTCTTCATTAAACTATGTCAACCAATAAGTGTATCAAACAAGTTTCAGAAATGAACTTGAATGAAACAGGCAGTGAGTGCTGAAGTCAACACGAAAACGAGAACAACCAGAAAAGCGATCACGGTAAACAAATTGAAGCGACAACGAGTGCTGAAGAACACATCACAGGAACAGAAACGATTGGAAAAGCGATCGCAGTGAACAATATGAAGCGACAAAGAGTGCTGAAGAACACATCGCACAAACAGCAACGATTGGAAAAGCGATCGCAGTGAACAATATGAAGCGACAGAGGGTGCTGAAGAACACATCGAAGAAACAGCAAAGATTGGAAAAGCGATCGCGGTGAACAATATGAAGCGACAAAGAGTGCTGAAGAACACATCGCAGAAACAGCAACGATTGGAAAAGCGATCGCAGTGAACAAATTGAAGCGTTAAAGAGTGCTGAAGAACACATCGCAGAAACAGCAACGATTCGAAAAGCGATCGCGGTGACAACCAGCGAGCGGGTGAAAGAAACATAACTAACGTCGTGAGCAAATGAGATAAAAGCAGAGATCAGTGCAGGTTGTGATAGATCAGAAAGACTTACTAGGAGACCGGTCGCTCGTTAACACAAGGTGTGGGCGAGACACAACCTCCCGGGGTACACCTGCAAAACCGAGGCTCGTCAGAACCATCACAAATTGACAAGTATTTCAAACAATGATCCGATGAATGAACAATCTTCCACGGAAAAGGTATCTTCCGCTAGAACATTAATTGCTCGGAAAGGTTCTATTGTAACAAAACTGTGTCAATCTAAAGTCTCATTAAGACATCTATTTGTCAAAATACACATGAAAAACAAAGGCCCATCAGAACCAACAGAGATTCAGAAGACTTCCGAACAATTATCGGCAAAAAACAATCTTCGACAGAAAAAGTACCTTCCGCTAGAAAATCAACTTCTCATCAAAGTTCTATTATGGCACAAAATTTTAATCAAAACGTCTTATAACGATATCTACCTCTTGATTGTAAGAGGGGAGGACTCATGGTCCAAGCACGTCAACCAAAGCTTATTGTGAATCCCCTAGTCTACCTAGGAGGGAATCTATCTAACTCTTAAAAGTGTCATTTTGACATCATGTTCAGTCAATAAATTCCATTATGATATGGCCTTAAATATTTGTGAGATCACAGCTTCTGTTTAAAATGTCTATCATGTCATTTATATCTCACAAATGATCGGTTACTGTGTTATAAAGTACTAAAAGGTCAACAGCAAATGCAACAAATATTTCACTATCACATTACAAAACCCGGTTAAAAAAGTACCCCATTGCAGCCTTGGTCTATGTCAAATAAATTCTACAAAGACAAGAAAAATGCTTGAACTCTATTTGCAAAAAAATTGGATTCAAAACATTCCATTACAAATTATGCCAAAGAGGTGCCACAAAGACAAAAGCCCGTCTCAACGATTCCATTCTAGATATCTGCATATTTTCAAAACTGCAAGGAACCTCAACCGAAGGTGTTTTGGCTATATTTTCATACATCTGTTTCGTAAACAAGATAGTCAAAATTACCTTTACTATTTCATTCCTCTGTGACTTGACATCATAACAAATCAATTTAGTCAAATGTATATGTTTGTTGGTGATAATCGAGCTAATTCTTTGAAAATGCAGTGTGAACACAATATATTTCCCATAACTGCAATGACTCACGCCAAGATAGTCACGCCTATCAGTTAATCTGTTGTTTTCACCATTTGTTAGAATCTCAAACTAATCTGGAATCTGCCTTTCGCCCTCCGCTATTGTTGTTTGAGAATAAACAGCAAACTGTAAGTTTTAGCCAAAATATGAGATAAACATATATTGACATAAGCAAATTAAAGTGCGTGACCAAACATAAGAAAACATCACAGGCGTCAGACTTAACAATGGGATGAAAAGCCCAAAGGCAATGTTGTACATTGTTGTGCATAGGGAGTTTCAACGGTATAGCAAGGATTGTCGACTCTGGACCCTCAAAAATATTCTCATCTGGCTGTCAATTAAAGATGCTATCCAACCAAAGGTCGACACTACAATATTACCAGGGTTGGGTTTCCTATACGAAAACGTTAAAAACCACCAATAACGTACAAACACAAAATACGCATGGACATCCCTTTGGATGTCATCATTTTATCATTTTAATTTAAAAAATTAAGGTTGCTATGAATTGGCTAATTTTATGAAAAAAGATTTCAGGAAGACTTTTGTTTAGCATTTAAAATTTCCTATCTAACGACACTAAGTTCAAAAAGATGGTAGAAAAATAACTGAATGTTACGATATTTAGTTGTAAAATTATGGCTTGCCTCAATTCACAATTAAATAACAATCGTGATAGGCTTATTTCAGTGAAACTTTGAATTGATTAGGATACATTTTTTTCTGACGCGGGTCTATTTTACTTTAACATACATACCAAGTTTCATAATGATCGGTTGAACAAATTTAACGATAAAATGTTTATGTGAACAAACAAAATGGTGACTGTCGGCCTTAGTCACTAACAAGACTACAAAATTGCGCCACTCATCCTACACTCATCTCCATTCACACTTGGCTTAAAATACCTACTTTGAATGGTCGCCATTTCATTGAAAAGTATTGAAAGTATTGAATATCTGGTTAACAAAGGGATTTTGAGAAAAACATATATTCTTGATTTTCTCTTTATTTTGCCTCAAAAAATCGTTTCCCGGAGTAGCTGTTTACTTACGGGACACCCTGTATGTATTTTCAGATTGTATTTCCTGTAGACTCCAGTGTGGCACGGCCGTCAGAGACGGTGGTATCTGCCAAATTGGCAAAGTTACCACTTTGAGAGAGATGGAGAGAGCGAGAGATAGCTAGGTAGGTTTACGAGGTCGTAACCGCAAGTGGCTCAATGGATCGTAAACAAAGAAGCGATTAGTGACAGTAAACACCTCTGACTATCACACCTACTTGACTTGGTTTAAACTATGTTGCATTCATATCTGACAAGATCTGTTTACAAGATCACCTCAAAAGCGATACTACAGTAATTAACTTGGACCAACGACTCTATAGACTTCGGCGACGTCTTGATCATCTTGTTCATCGCTCTTGTACATTGCCAGGGTGAATGGATTTAACATTTATTTTACATCCTTCCTTTATCATTTCTATAAATTATTTGAAGCCGGGAGGTTTGTGGGTTTGTTTTATAAATATCTTTAAGCCCCGGTGTTAAAAATCGTGGTCTAAGGAGCTGACCACGTCACTTATCTAGCAAAAGTAATGGCCGACTGAGTTTAAACATTGCTGCAATGGATCAGAAACTTTATCAGACAAAAAAAAAAATGGTACCTACAACTACTAAGATAAATAAAATAATCAAACATTGATTAATTAGAGGAATCAAATTTCATGATCAAATCGGTGTTAACGTGGATTACTCTATAAGTCTTTGAGAATAATGATATTGGTCTCTTTAAGCCAGTTGTTGTTGGATCTAAGTTTTAAAACTCATATGTA